TAGAGGTGTTTCCACTACTGCTTAGGCTTGAGAGTGAGGAAGGATACCAAAAAGTCTCAAATCTAATTGAAAACCACCTGGAATATATTGCAGAACAAAATTGATCAGTACTTTCCCTCCCTTTCAACACAAGTGTACGACTGGTTCTGGGATCCTTTCTCTGCATCTTCTGCTCAGCCTGAGAACTTCATTCTGAAGAAAGAGGAAGAACTTTGTGAGCTGCAGTCTGATCGTACACTCAAGATGAGATTCACTGATCCGCCCATGGACAAGTTCTCGATTTCTGTGAAAGTAGAGTATTCTGCCATTCATAGGAAGACACTGAACTTTTTGTTGCAGTTTTCAACTTCTTACATATGTGAGGAACCTTTTCCTTATTTAACAAGCATCAAAAGCAAAGACGGAAATAATCTTATTTCAGTTGAAGATGAAATCTGTGTGTGTTTATCTCAAGTTCAGCCCAGAATTGAGTATTTGTGCAGCAAAAAACAAGCACAGATTTCACATTATAGAGGTAAATTTCATTCTTTATTTTCAGTTTAAGAACACTGTTAATTCACATATACAAGCCTACACATGAGACAAATATAATAAATTTGTAACTTCTGGGCTATATTTGAGCCTGAATGTGTAGAGGTTCCCCAAGGCCTGAAAAATATTTCAAGGGTTCCTCCAGGGCCAAAAGGTTCTGTGGAAGTTGTAGTCCAAAAGAATGTCTAGAAGGCACCAGATTGCTTACTTCTGCCATGGCAGAATGGACTATGCAAGTCCCAATGCTCTCTCATATATTCCCCTAGATGTTCATCAGGCTTCCTCCCCATCTGACTTTAAAAAAATATTATTAAAAAAGCTTTTAGCATCAAATTAGTTTCTAGCAACTTCTTTGGGAGACAGCATTCTGGTGTAACATTCACTTGAGAATGGTCAGGTCCACTATGACAGCCTTTTGTGAATAGGCAATTCTCCCATAGCAGCCATTTTTGTGAATATACCCATCAAATGTGCCCATTGAATTTCCAAATACATTCCTAGTACTTTCTATCCATACTCTAAAGCAACCTTCATCAATCTGCTGCCCTCCAGGTCTGTGGCACTTCAATTTTTAACACTCTTATTGTGCTTCTAGTCTAAGTCATGCACAAGCAGCAAGTTGGGGAAGCCATTCTAAGTATCCCATACATAAAGAAAAGTTGCCAGAGAAGAACAAAGCATGCACAGAAAATTCCAATCCAATATGCAGCTTTGTCATAAGTGAAGGGGCAACCTTGACCAGTCACTTCAGAGCCTAGTTATATCCATAATGATACTGTCTCCACCTTTCCCTTCTCCTTCAGCATGAAAGATGAGTGGTTGCATGGAACGAGTCTCTGAGCTGTGATGGGAATCAGTCTCGCTTGGCTGCAAAAAATATATATATCCTGGTATGCCTGTGATGAATCCTTTCATTATTCATCTGCAATTGCCTTGCTGTTGCCATTGCTTCCTGCTTTCTCTGCCATTCTCTTTTTTATATAAATAAAAATGAAAAAAAGGGTAATGATAAATGCTGACAATGATTGCCTTTAAAGAACCTGACCAGAACATAAGAAGATCACGGAAGGGAATGGGAACTGAAGACAGGAAGAATGAGAAAAAGAAAAAGCAAATTTATGAAAGGAGATACTTGATTCCCCCTAAGATACACAGGGGGAGATGGGTGCACGGAGAGGAAAAGGATATTTATCATGGAACCAGGATTTAGCTCACAGTCAATTGTGGATTTCCCTTCAAAGGCTGATACACTTGAACACCTAACTTTGGGTTGGTCACTCTCTCTCTGGGTTTTGGTTGTAGAGAATAATGGGGAGGGGGGCAGTGCTATGTATACTGCCTTGAGCTCCTGAACAAAGAAATCAGAGAAATCAAATAAAGAAATGTTTATCTCACATGCCTCTTCTGGGAGCTCAAAGCAACATATATGGGAGTCTTCCCTCATTTTGCCCTCACAATAACAATCCTGTGAAATAGGCCACAGTGAGAAAGTGATTGGCCCAAAGTCACAGAATGAGGTTTGGTTGGATGGAAACTTCCTTGGCCCCTGTCTAGTATCTTCATTGCAGTATCACACGGACTTTTCTCCTCTCCAATAGTTTCTTTAATCTCCACTGCTTTGGCTTCCTGTCTGCCTGTGAGCCCTGAAGAAGCTTTGCCTTAAACTTCTCCCTGGAATGGCTTATCCCTCTGCCTACCAGCCAGCTCTCTTATATCCCAGCCACTAGTTTTGCTAAGCTATATACACCCCCTGCAGCCATCCAAATCTCTTCTGCTTTCTGTTACAACTCTGCCTTTTACCCTTGTTGCTTCTTTTAACTGGCATTATCTCAGTTGCTTGCTACTGCTTCCATGATGTTCTTCAAATACCTCCTCAAATCTTTTTGGAAATTCCTGCAGAATCCAAGTACACTTCCCAGTCCAAACATCATGCCACTGAAATAATCGCATAATTTTTTGTTTATCCCTGTTCCATTCTCCTGCCCTTTCTGTTTTCTTGACGTTAATTTTTTAGACTAAGATTTTTAGGTTGGAAGCAGTTCTCCATAAACATTACATTCATGAAGAATGCTGATAATAATGCTGCCTCTTTCTGAATAAATAGAGTGACTGCTAAGTTTTATCAAACCTGTTTTTGCTTCATGTTGTGCTGAACTATTACCACCACAGCATGTTTTATTATTGTGTGGATCTGCAGCTTCTGAGTTCAGAATATGATTTCACTGCAAGACCTCCAAGTATCATGGGCAGATTGACAAGTTGGCCAACCATATTGCTGTTGTTTAGAAGAAGTGTAAAAGGCCCTTACATGTGAATAAATCTGCTTTTAATGTGTTACCTGGGAAGAAGACCAAAGAATGTTTCTAGGACACATGTTCAAGAAACTGTTTTAGGATCTTAGCATTCGTAGCAGCACTAATTCCTCTCAGCAGCTTTATTCCTGTATTCCAGAACTTGAAAAATTGGTGTGCTGATAGAATGTGACCAATCAGCCTGCAGAACACATTTTGTAAGTTGGAACATCCATCTGTAAGGGGACCAAGCCTAGCCTCCTGATACCAAGCCCCCATCTGTTCCACTAAATAAAGAAACATGACAGGCTTTTAACTCAAAGGGCTCTCCAGGAAGTTACATTGATTATTCCAAGTTAATGCTTCCCCAATTCATAACAGGAAAACGGGGAAAGGGAATAACAAGAGCAGTATCAGGCACCAGAGGAGGAAAACCCATTTGCTTTTGGCTCTTGTTTTGTCAAAATCATCTCTTCTCAGGATAAGCCCTCCCTCTAACTGTAAGCCAAACTTCTCCTATTTTTCAGTTGGAGGCCTGACTAAGGTGACAGTTATCAACTTTGAATATAACTGTAAATGTTGCAAGCCATTTCAATCACTATATATATTTCAGTACACATTTGTAAATGGGTTGTCTGAAACATCTTTTTGGGTTGGCCGAAACAAGGAAGTGATATGCATGTTAACATGAAAGGAAGGCTGCTTTGAAAACAGCTATGGTCCAAGCTGTGGAGTATTTTACTGCATTATTTGCAGTAATTGTGCTGATAACCTGCATCATCAGCTACTAGAAAATGAAGTTCTCTCCTGGTAAAGCACAGTCCATCTCATGGGCATGTTAGAAGGAGTTGCAAATACAGAAGGAAAAACAGGAGAAAGAGGCAGGTGGGTTTCAGTCAAATGTGGGATCCCCGAAGACAAGCTGTGTTTCAGCACCCCGGACAGAGCCCAAGCAATAACAAACAGTTTATACCAGCAACAGCTAAGTCACAAGGCTTTTATGTTCCCTGAAATGAAGGTAAGAAGGTAAGAAGTAACGACCTTAAAAGAGGAGACCTCATCCAAACACACTGCCATCTCTCCCTCTTGAATCTATGTAAGGTTTACTAATACAGTAGCCTTCCTGCTGGAGCTTGAAGATGCATAACAGGAATGCCTGGGTAGTTCCAAAGTAAATAACATTTCTAGACAGAGCAGCCTTTGTTTTCTGAGCATCTCCCTTCTTGTCTCGAGCCTTTGTTTCCCCATCAACAACAGAACAAATATTAAAATCCTTTCCCCTCCTCCTTTTTCCCCAGACAGCTGTCCCTGGCTGTCTACAGAGACAACCGCGTTATTGAGCAGTCAGAAGCAACAAGTTTTTCAGAGGACACGGTTGCTTTAAGGCTTTGAGGAAAGATGCTTTGCTCATGCTAAGATACTTATGTCACTTAGTTTTCACTTAGTAAAAACATTTTTTTCAAATGCTTTGCACAACCCTACATTTTTAAGAGTATACTTTTTAAAAAAAAATACAGAACAGAGATGGCTTTGGAGAAAATACGCAGTGACCATTGTAAAACCTGAGCTCAGTCCAGGAAAACAAGAAAGTGCAAGAAAGAAACTAAAGATTGTCTCACCTTGACTCTCTTTACTGGGAGAAAAGAGGAAACACTGTCAGGCTTTCAAGATGGTTATTACAGACTGTGTCAATAGAGTTATAATATTTCTTGGTGCGGTCTGTTTCCTAACCTGGCCTACCTTGAAAGGATGACAGCTAATGAGGTGGATTTTAACTAGATGGCTTCTATTTCTTTTTATTTGTATATTTGTGGTTTAATTGCTGTGTTTAATTTGTGTATTTTTAATTTTTCCATTATTGTCTTCATGCATCCATTTAGTGAGTAAACATGACATGAAGTTCTATCAAAGGATATATCTCTCATTTGCATATTATTCCATTGCCATATTACCACACATGAATCAAAATAATCTCAAGGGGAAAAATTAGCAATAATTAATTATCTGTACTAGAGTATTACTATGGAGCAGAAGCTATATAAACCTTCCTGTCTTTTTATGTCTATCATATATGAGAATGCTCTCAAATGATTAACATATACCATTTTAGGAAATAGGAGTGTGCAAATTTTTAAAGTGCGATCAGGAACTCAATTCACACATAATGAGCCATTTTCTACCAATATACACTTCCTTTCCCAATATACACTTTAATCCAAAGGTTTGCTATTTGCTAATCAAATTAATATCCAGATTATGTAACTGCATTGTAACATAATATTTTAATGTGTTATTTTCCCAATTCGTGCATTGTAGGAAACTGCAGTGTAACAATCCAGGAAACATCAACAACAGGGAGCATGTACAGAACTTGCTAGTTCTAATATAGTTGGAATTATAGTGTCTGAACTGTAAATTTACAGAGGAAGGACTGTTTCACCTTAGTTGATTGCTAAGGAATCAAAAATGTTGTGAGCAGTGTATTATTTTAATCTAAAGTTGACAGATATTGGTTTATTGCATTTTTATAAGCTCCTGGAATACAAACAGACTCTTGGTGGTTATTTGAACACTTGAGGACTGATATAAGCATAATTCATTTTTTCCATTCCATCTGTCAGAAGCTTACTAATTTCACTTCTTGACAGACCAATCATGTACCCTTATATCAAAACATAAATTATTGCCTCATATTAAAAAGTTATGTCTAGAACCAGGAATGTTGAAAAAAGCATTCAAGATAGTTAAGCAGGGATTATGAAAATGCACACACCTGTACAAGAGAGGCCAGCTCCACACAGTTCAATGTACACCCACTGTCTTGATCCCTGCTCACTCTGAATGCTTGAACAGGACAACACCTACTGATTGCTTCATACATAACATTAAGCCATACATTTTTAATTAGTTTGTTGAACTAGCTTCAAGTTGCCTGATACACACAGTGCTAAATTACAACAGATGGGATCTGCGCATCAATTTTTTTGTACCAATCCTACTTTTAAGAGATCTAAGTCTGAAATGCCTCTTTTAATAAAATGTATTTCACCCTGCTCAAATTTAATACTACAGTTGGGAGGGGAAGCTGAAACCCAAGTATAGTAATAAATGAAATAAACCCTTGTCACGGTTAGCAGGAAACTTTTATTCAACATACTAAGCACACTGCTATTTAAAAAAGTATTTTCTAAAATAAAATTCCAGAACCACAACATAGCATATTTTTACAGCATTTGTCCTAAACAAAGCTTGTAAAGGCCTTAAGAATCCAGGACCTGCTCAAAACAAAATGCACATGCAAGCAATTTCTATGTAGAATATAAGTAGAAGCTTAGCAAAGATTACAGTGAACGACCAAACTCCTATGGAAGTATCTATTTCATTAATGAACTGGGCAAGAATCTCCACTCATTTAAATCCACAAAGTCCCTGCTCAAAATAAATGTGTTACCAAGCTTCCACAGAAATTACTCACGAGTAGTTCCATGGATTCTTAGTTCTCATCAAGGGGGTAAGCTATCTCTAGGCTTCAGACAGACTTAAAAAGGAGCCTAAATATCTGCTCAGTGGAAAAAAAAAATCCCTCTATGCTTACAATTAACATACCAGTGGGTTTAGTTTCCTACCTCCATGATGCTAGTTTTCTATATGAAAATATAGAAATAGGGGATAGACTAGATAAATAGATCTGATAGACAAAGTGAGCCCTCCATTTTGTAGTTTGAAGTGCTAGCAGGGAAGACACAGATTTGCTCCTTTTGTGCATAGATCTTCGTTTGAGGGTTTAATCCCATTCTCTCTGAACCTCACATAATGACTAACTTGATGCATAGCACTGCGTATCACCAACTCCAACAGGATTTCAAAAATAATTGGATAATTACAAAGTAAACATTGGTGGATAAAATACTTCCATAAATCATGTAAAAATCACAAAGCTTGACCATAGTACCTGCAGAAGAGTGTTCCCATGAGAAAAGGTATTTTGGCACCATGAATCCATTTGTCTGAGCAAAATAGATGGAAGTATCATTAGTATTCTGCTGGGAGAGGCAGATGAGAAAAATCAGATGGGCAGCAAATTAAACTGGTCATCTTCTTTAAAAAGTAATGAATCAAGAAAGGGCTCCCTCTGTCTTCTACACACATACTTCTCTATCCAATAAATGTTGCTCACTGAGTGTCTCTCCTGGGTAGGTTGCTATTTACAAAACATTTGACAGCATTATACATGCAGAGGATGGGACAAAAGCAAGAAGCAAGCCTCAACTGAGATTTGTATGGAGATTATTAGGATAATCAGCACAAACATTCAGTGCATCTAATCCTAATGCTCTGAACACTCCAGAGATATCCAGCACAGGCTAGTCCCTCAGTGACTCATATATGGAGGCAACAAGCATCAACAGCCTGCATGGCAAAAATCTAAACATTCCTCCAGAAGAAAAGTGTCTGTCTGTTCCATTTCCTTTTTAAGATTAAAAAGCCAAAACCAGGAGCCAGACAATTGCAATTGGAAATAATCTGTGTACATTTAACTGGTAGATCTCCAATACCAAGCTGCATCCTTCGGGGGTAGAAAACACTAGAAACAGCTTCTGAGCTATTTCCTTTAATGGTGACTCACTTTCAATCATGTCCACATGGCTCTGCCCAGGGAACAAGGTATTTCATAGGTGTTGATTTTCCATGTGGGCTTGTTCATATGCCATCAGCATATAATTAGGCAACTAAAATAGGCCATACAGTGAAAGCCAGCGCCTTAGCAAGCATATACAGTACTTCTTCCCTCATATACCAGCTACCACATGCAGTTTTGAGCAGTTTTTAATGTGACAGTTTTATGACGGCCTACTAAGAACCAATCTGATTTTCAGAATTTTCCTCAGATTTTTTTTTTGTTTAGCATATAGTAGATAGGACCACTGTAGCAAGGTACCTGTAGAATCAGGTACCTCGTTCGTCATGCCCTAGACTAATGGAGTGACAAAAAGAAACAAGCCAAATTTAAAAACTAACAAAAGCTCTGCTGGATCTAACAATTTCTCCATTCCACACAATGGCCAGTTTGGTGTCTTTACAAGCAAGACATGAAGAAAATGGCTTTCTCTTATAGTTGCTCCCCAATAAGAAGCATTCAGTGCATCTTGCTAAAGCTGAAGGCTCCATAGAGCACATTTGGGTACAAATAATACCCAGTAACCGATTTTTGCCTAGCTGGTTTGTCTAATTGAAGCCATTTAAGTTAATGGTCGGCACTGTATCTTCTGGCAGCACATCCCATAAATTGTGCATTATGTTAAGTACTTCCACTGTTTCTTGGGATGACCTTGTGTTCTAGTATTACATGAAAGTGAAAAAAATATCCATTTTTTCCACACCATGCATAATTTTGTAAATCTCCATCATGAAATATATCATGTGTGTTTAAATTCCTATATCTTAATCTAGAAAGAGACATCTGTGTACAGTACCAGATTTGCACATGCAACTCTGGAGAGATTCCTCCATTCATTATCTGTTTCCAGACCTCATTTAAGTTGTTATATACAACTATTAATGGAAGTCCTCTTATATTGTAATTACTAATAATTAGAATTGGCACAAGATCTAGTTTAAAACTCATTTATTCCACCACTGAAGTGTCACATTGTTATTATTATTTAATTACATTTGTATCCCACCCAATTCCCAACAACCTAACAAGCAGCTATGCTCTACTGATAATAGGATTTTTGGATCACAATAGTTGTTATAAAATTTAAAATAAAAAACACTGAAATAGGTATAGAAACTCTAACTTGGAAGATCAGTGAATATGACATCTGAATGCAGCCACAGCATAATACAGAAAATCTAAAGTTTGCAAGTTTCAAGGTCCTGTGGGCTGTGCAATTGTATGATAGTGGGGAGTTTCAAGCCCCACTGCTTTCTCTTTGTTGTACTGTATACCATTTTATGTATTATAAAGAATGCCATAATACTGTAATCAGAAGTAAAGCTGACAGTTTGTTTTTATTCCAGTTACAGAACTGTAACTTTCTCTTGTTAAAAGGATGTGTGTTTTTTTCTTATCCAATATTTGAAATATATTCTGCATGGAATTCATAGGACCCTATTTACATAGTACATGCTAAATAATTATCTGACTACAAATATAATAGCAACTATGAATGACAGTAAGTATCAAACATCCTTAGGAAAAACTGTTTTTCCAAAGGCAAATGGAAATAATACTTTCAGAAAAATTGTTAAGTTAATTAAAGCATAATATAGACACAAATCAACAGATTTAGGCTTCTTTCTATATTCCTTGACTTACTCAGCTATAAGTGTTTTGTCATTTTTTACAACTATTACATGCAGAAGGAAGTTCTTTTAAAAGAACAGGGCAATCATAATAAGAAACTAATGAAACAGCAAACAGTACCATTTTATCACACTGCATTGGAATATTTAATATAAATCCCATTCTAACCTTGTTTAAGAAATATAGGCTCTAGATCTGGGAACACAGAAAAACTAGGAAGAGTTTTACAAGATCTTCAGCATGTCTAAATGTGTAATGTATATTATGCAGCATAGGATCTGAGGCACAGTAGAGCTTCCATTCAGCATAAATGAGAATTTATGCTGGAGACAATAAAATGACTAATCTGGAAACAACAGTTATGATAGTGATTTCCCCAAGGCCTCTCAAATCTTCACAAAGCATTCAAATAAATTGACTTGTGCATCCTTTATACACGATTAAAAGGGGCTTTACTTGACAATCAATTTCCGAGTGTATTAAGAGAATATAAGGAGTCTACTAATGAAGATCTGAGTCTGTGCCTGGGTTACATGGTTAGCATTAATGGCTTAGACACAGGCACAGCATCACTAACTATCTTAGTAAGGCATGCATGAGCTGCACTATGTTACCTGATAAACCCATATCACCACACCTGGCAAAATCTATCAACAAAACCAGTGCTAGTTTGCATTTAAATATTTGTATAGAATTAGTACTCATTCTTATGTCTGTATGGTATTCCTCAATTTTATCAGTTAAACAAAGAGACTGAAGCATTATAAAAGCACATGAAACATACTAATCCTTTCTCTGTTCCTAAGCATCATTTCAACTGCTAGACGAGTACACTAAATGCTACAAGGGAGAACTGCTGCCTACTTGCATTTCAAGATCTACCCAACCTGCAGCCCCATTCACTCTGACTTTGTACCCTAATATACAACATGGCCAAATCAAATATATAACTGTTGTGTCCTAATCAACACTCAGTCATTTTCAACTTGTCAACATTAAATCCAGCATAAGATTTCAAACCAAGAAGGGGGGGGGGGATGGTTAAAAAAAACACAAAAAGGCATAATGTATAGCAAACTGTGCTAGAATGATTACATGGGTACCCAGTTGTCAGGCTCCTAAATCTGAATGGTGGTACCTAAAAATGTGGACTATTTTGCAGTCCTGCTCACAATCTTTAGCAAGATATGAGTAACAGGGAAAAATATATGAAAGAAAAAAATGTAAACAGTCAAACAATGCTTCCAAAAAAAAAAAAAAAATTAGCCACTCACATACGTACTCTACATACACATAGAGTGATTATCAAGATAGATAACAATTAAAAGCAAAATATTGACTTCTCCCATATTCAACTGATCTGAAAAATACTACAATTCTACTGCATTCTAGTTCAGAAAAGCTGAATAATGGGAAACCATAATGCTTTCCTTTTAAACTTTTATATCCATGCTATTAATTGCACTAATAGATATCTAGTTTAAATGAACAAGTGCATCCTTCTGAGATCTACAACGAAGATGACCAAAATACTGAACACTTTAAAAATGGGGGAACTCTCAATGCAGGCTGCTTTTGCTATGGTTGATTATGTTAGTTTTACATTTGAGTTCCTGGAAGCAAAGCAGTATTCAGCTGTGATTAGGAGTATGTCAAGAGAAGTGGACTGTTTTTTATATTCTATGCTGGACAGAGATTGTAGAAGATGAAAAGCCATGGTCATCAAGATAAGCTCTAAGTGAAGAGCATGAAGGAGCAAGGAGTCAGAGGGGTAGAAATCACACAGATGGAACAGGAAAAGGAGATCTATGGAGCAATGACTGAGCCTCTGTGAAAAGATTCTGGAGATTTTCACTGCACCTCTGGAACAGAATAGCTTTGTAAAACCCCTTCTGTGGAATTGCCACTGGGCTACTATGGAACCAATTTTGTTAGTGGGCTTCTGGCTTAACCCTGACCCCAACCTTTTGGAGCAGCTGGAGTGGAATGGGAGTATCACCAGACTCACTTACAATGGGCTCCCATAGCTGATTTCTGAGGAACAAAGTAGCATGAAAGATGAGAAAAAATAAAAAGTAGAGAAAAGGACAAGGTCATAGGAGCCTTGGTGACTGCACTAAGGGCAATATTCTTTGCTGAGACAGGTACTGGGCACATCTAAATTTGCAAATATGTAGCATCTTTCCTGCCTTGAACAGGGTTTAAGGGAAGGCAACTGCTTTTCTTGCTGCTTGGGAACTTCTTAGTGGCTTCCTTACCAATCATGGAGTTAAGAAATTTGCCTACACTTCCTATAGCTTCACCCCTCAGCCACAGCCAGGTTATCTCCTGCTCTACTTCTGCTATGCTGCTCAGACATTTGTTGCAGATTAGAGTACTGTGGTACGACTGGAGAAGGGCAAGGAACTGGCCACAAAATACAAGAGGCTAAGGGGTTGAGGGCAAAGACTGGGCTTGAAATAAAGATAGAAGTTGGTTAGCTGGCAGTGAGGTTTAGGGCAAACATAGCTACTATGTTCCACAATGACCCAAATGCATCCAGCTACTTTTTATTTAAAAACAAACATGTGCACGGGGTCCCAAAAATGGAAGACTCCAAACTGCATTATCTAAAAGGCTGTAATACAGCAACATATAGACATCAGGGTAATATAGCAGATGTCTTTTAAAATAATTTACAGAGTATATCTGCTGGTTGCCCATTTCGCTGTCAATCATTTTAAAAGATTATATATTGCAAAGCTTCCTGACATAACAATTCAGTCCATACATTATCATTCTGCTGGTTGTTCATGGGGGATACAGGAAAGTGAGCTCAAAGGGGAAATGCATCTAATTTAAATCAACTTTAGGATATTCCAGTGAAACTGGAAGAAAAATCAGAAAGGATAAAGAATATATATAGAGCAACCTAAAGGGGATGCAACCAACTTACAGGTAGTCTTTGGGTAATGATGGCAATTGGGACTGGGATTGCCGTCACTAAGCGACGCAGTCATAAAGCGTGACATCATGTAATCATATTGCTTAGTGACAGCATTCCTGGGCAGTCCTGGTTGCTTTTGTAACCCCAAGACGTGCGGATCATTAAGCAGGAAGAGGTGGGATTCCCATGTAAGGAGTGTGGGGGTGCCGTGGGGAGGAGACCAGGGGAGGGCCTAGGAGGGCCGGAGGAGACTGAGCATAGGCAGGGGGTGCTGCGGGCAAAAGAAAAAGCGAAAGCAACTTACCAGAGCGACTTGCAACCTTCTCTGCTGCTTCCCCATTGCTTTTCCTTGTGGGAAGCTGGCAGGGAAGGTCACAAATGGTGATCATGTGACTGCAGTTCCCTGCAATGTCATAATCATGAACTGGGCACCCAAGAGTCCAGATCACGATCATGTGACGAGGATGCTGTGATGGCCAGAACTTTGAAGACCGGTTGTACAACCATTTTTTCAGCACTGCTGGAACTCTGAACAGTCACTGAACAAATGGATGTAAGTCAAGGATTACCTGTATTATGCTCAAATCTTTTCTAACAAGTAACTGTTGGGAAAATGTTCCTTCTACAGCAGTCAAGTTGCCCAGTCCATACAAAACATCCATCGTCTGTTAATCTCCATTCAAATCATCCATGCTGGAGAGACAGAGTTTGCTTCTTCAAAGTACTGCAATTAAAATGTTTCCCTGTTTAATACAGAAATTCTACTATAATTGATACTTCCAACTATGAAGAGGTTGGTAACAAAAGTAAGCATTTTCAATAAACAATAACATTTTGCACATATCCACAGTATTTGTTGGCTTTGAAAGCAAGAGTGTGCAATAACACACCAATAGGAACATTACTAGTATAGAAATCTCAACACTGATTACATTTGTATTTTTATATAAACATGATTTGCAGGATACGTTGAATAACCAGATAATATTGACATGTCACATACTAATACTGAGAGACATTTATTGCCAGTCAAGGCATCTGATAAAAATTGTGATATACTCTGAAGTCCAACAGATAAAAAACAGAACCAGTTGCTAACAGAAGAATTGCCTGCTTTTAGTACCGTGGTATGGCATTTTTTAAAAAGCTGTTGGGAGTGGTAGTGATGATGCTTTCTGACGATGGATGGATTCTGCCTCCACAGTCAGTTCTGGTGGGTCACAGGCGGATCAGGGTCTGATGCATCTATGTGGATAGATAAAGCTGCTAGAACACAACAATAAAGATGGAAGAAAATACAATGAAAAGTAAGGCCAAACCAGATTGAAAACTACCATTTTTAATACCAAGATTTATATGCCAAACCCCACCATATATCCATTCCTGTTGTTACTAATTAATTTCCTTTCAACCATTAATTTGCTTTCAACCAGTCTGGGGTGGGAGTGGAGGTAAAATACTAAAATAGTTGAAGTTTCTAGAATAGTATTTCATTGTTTGCTTGATTTTTTTCAAATGTGAACTTGCAAGCCATCCTTTGCTGATAGATGTTCTGTTCTCTGACCAATATATTTTGTCCAGTCAGACTACACAAACATCATTAAAACATCATTTTGACAGACCACAAAGTGCAAGAAGAAGAAAAAAAATCAAATCAGTCCCAGTGTATATGAATTAGCTCATTCTAAACAGTGTTTCTCAATCTCTGCATGCTGGCTGGGGAATTCTGGGAGTTGAAGTCCATACATCTTAAACTTGCAGAGGTTGAGAAACACTGCTCTAGAGCTTTTGAAAATCACTTCTGATCTCAGCACTAATGAGCTCTGGTAGTTACAGCAAGTCTTCCTGTCATTGTACATTGTGGAAGTGAAACACACTAGTCAATCTGTTATTTCTGCTTTATGTATTAATGTATCCAGGGTTGTGTTTGTTTTGTGCCAAGTTGGAAAAACATAATGTTGTACCCAGAGAGGAACTATCTATAGTTTTCTCTGCTCCAAAGGTCAATCAAAAAACATCTAATTCATGTAAAGAAACAGGGTAAGTTCCTTGTTGAATCTACTTTAAGAATAGTAATAGGATTCAGTTTAAAACACCATAAGTATCTTCTAGACAGTGCAGAGGAATTTGCCTGCCAAGAGAATGAGACAAGATGGAATAAACTCTCCAGGCTGTTAGTGGGACAGCTTAAACTTCAGTGCCTATCTAATATTACAGGAAAGGGATCAAGGAGAGAACTAGCAATGTATTTTTTAATCTTCTGAGAAGGTAGTTGAAGAAAACTGAACAGGTCAAAAGCATACAGATAGAGGTAAGGGACCACTTATGAGTTCAGTTCCTTCAAAATCACATCACTGAACAATGAACAAATACAAGCTCAACTGCAACAGGGGTCTAATGTTGCCAAGCACTTAGATAAAAAGAACCATTCCTAGTATAAAGAAAATACATAAGCTGATTTTCAGGAAGATTGGGCATGGCAGGTCTGGCCCAGTATCAAATTCTTTACATATTTCTGATTCTTTCAACACAGGATTATGAATAGGAATCATAAGACATCCCAATGTGCTTCAGAAACATGTGGAATTGGTCAGGAAGCACATTTCTCAATCAATGCCTTCCTGACATCAATCAGGTAGTTTAGAAAAGCAGATGCTGGGAGACAGCATGGTTGGGCTGCGCTGGAGACCAGGCTGCTGAGGCACTGCCAACCAAGCTGCAATCTCCTCTGGATCTGGTCCTATCTGTGACTCTGTGGATTTTTGTGGACTTGGACAGAAGGACTAGTGATTTTCCTATGGTATTTTTGCCTCTCACCAACCAACAGAAGGCAGTGTAGGACATCCTTCATTCTTGTTGGAACTCATCAGATACACATCGCCAAATTCCACCCTGCCCCTCCCTCCAGGATAAGGGAGGGGAAGAATCATAGATTCTAGCCTGAGGGCATGACATGAAATATCTCTCTGATTGCTTAAAAACAAGAAAGCCATGCATTCATTGTTTAGTTCATACCTCTCTTCCTACAAGCTTGCTGACAGCCAGGCCACTATAGCTCAAAAATAGTCAACAAAGTGCCACGGCTTGAGAGTTCACTTCCCAGTAAAGGAAGTTTGATATATAAGATCTAACTTTAATACAATGGCTACTTGTATCGAATGAATTCCAGCAAGAATGAAACTAGACATACACTACCTCCTGTTGATCAGTAAGTAGCAAAAATACCACAGGAATATATTTATACTATAAAATCCTCCCCCTACCCCCCACCAGATTACTGCCAATAAAGGAGTGGGGGGTGGAGGCCACTGGCACCAACCCGCCTGGCTGGGAGTTTCAGGAACTTTAAAGTCCACACTATCAGAATTGGTAAGGCTGTGTTAATAGTACCCCCACCCCCTGCCCAGAGTGCACCAGCTCAAATCACTTCTGCCATTGATTGCTGGGGTTTTCCTGGGTGAGAGACAAGGCAGGGGATCAGGGAACTCTGTCAGTGGTGAGAAGCAGACTAGGAGTGAACTACAGCCCACCTGACATTATTGAGAGTATCTGAGGAACAGGGGCTCTAGTTTTATGACATACAAAGGATATATAAGTTGTATACGTATGTGGTTATGTAGTACTGGATGGACAGGGCCTAGTGGAATGGCATTTTAATGGTGGGCCTATATGACTGGTTGGGGGTATGGGGTTGGGGGCTCCCTTCTGCCTGGGGGAAGGCTGATCAACCCTGGCAGAGGGAGGCAGGGATAGTCATATCC